CGAATTTTGACAAAATTTATCAAATTTAAAATTGAATAATTATTTTGTAGTTAAAAATGTATAAAATGTTCAACTTTTATAATATAAAATATAAGATATTATCTAAAGATATCTAAGGATTGAAAATTTAAAACAAGATTCCACGTAAGTAGTAAATTCTGTTACCAAAAAATCTAAAAAATACATAAGCACAGTTAATTTTTATAGTCATTTTAAGTTCAACTTTGGACAAAATTACATAAAAAAAAACCTAGAATAACTATTTTAGTTATTTTGTTGTGATTGTGTAATATTATTCGTGGGTACTTGAAACTTTTAAAGTACACTATTATATATCTATGGAGTATGGACTATGATAGTATCAGGGTTTGTTGTTGACGTATAACACATTATAAGTACCTAATGGATATTATGATATGATTGATTTGGAATTTATTATAGGTACCTATTTTAAGTAAATTTTTTTTGATACGATAGATAAGTATATACTATGTCTTATACCTAGACTGACACAATACCGTCTCCGCTCAGAATCGTTTTTCTTATACAATGATATTATATCATTGTATTAAAATTTAATACTATCCATTATACAGTGGCCTACTTCATACTTGTAACCTACTGTACAGCAGAGCACATTTTTATAATTTTATATCAATATATTATATCAATATAATTATTATATCATTATTGGTTTTTACAGGAAAAAAGTTGGCTAAAATAGCCACTTCACAGTACTAAAAACCACTAACTGATAATGTAAAAATAATAGATAACACAATTTAAACTGTTCACTATACGTCTATAGTGAATACGTCTATATACTACCTACTTCATTAATACACAGGAATACACGGTGTATAGACGTTACAGTCGTTACACTTTTGATTCCAAGTACTAATTTACTATCGAACACTCAGTATCTAGCTGTCAAATTTCTTCTGTTAGATATTTGCCCACCTGCATAACAGGACCCACCACCCACCCATTTAAAAGGGGTGGCGGTCGCCACCCTTACTATATAGGTTCGGCGCCACTGAGTATACGTCTTATAGTAGGCATATATCTACGGCGAATATTTTAACATTGGCACCGCGTGTACTAGATAAGTACAAGTTATATCGTTGCATGTGCACTCGTCGTTCCTATATGTGCTACGTATCGTACACGTTCGTACCACACTATTATTATAAATTATAATAGATCGTATACCTGCAAATGCAGTATTGGTCGGTCGTTGGTATACGTTTAACGAACAGCGTGGTGCGCGCCGGGGAAATAGGTAAGTTCCATACGAGTTTTACAAAATTTCCGTTGCTAATTAGTGATTATTATTATTATACTCGTGTTCCTATCTATACAATAATAATAATAATATGCTCTACGGCACTTGTAACAATAATAATAATAATAATAAGCATTGCAAATACAGATCAGCTCCAACTGATTGTATTCAACGAGAATGACTGGTTTTTAAAATTTTTTTTTTTTATTCTTCCATCGAGTAAATCCCGCGATCCTAATCGGTACACATGTGATAATATAAGCTAATAAGAATGATTATTGGGCGTTGTAATATACTCGTGCGTTATTGTGATGGTTTCGAATTATCCACTCGACAATAAACCAAACGAGACGACATGACGACGGTGTTATCTCTTGCGATGTTTGGTTCGCGCGTGACGAGTCTACTTACACAATATATTGTAATATAATAATATTATAGAAAAACAAAAAATAACACACACACACTGATACACACACACCCCACACAGGGCTTACATACCGCTGGCACAGAGATAAATTAGCCCTAGGAACGCTTAAAGGTTCACCTTTATAGAAAAATCCATACTATATTACACTATAATTTGTACCGGAATTTGCGTTGTGGTGCGTTATTTCGGGCACACGTATAATTTATATGCAGTTATCGGTAGTTATACAATTATACAGATGTACCGACGAAATAGTGTTCACTCGCATCGTCGTAACAACCGCGATCTTACGAAGGATCTATATACTTATTTTTATTATTCGTTATATCATAATTCATAATATTATTATTTATTACTATCGATTTTTTTTGTGTAACACACGAATCAACAACAATTATTGTAATAAATTATCGTCAACCCGGAGAGACGCTACGGCAAGTATTTCGTTTTTGTCGAAAACGTTTAAGTTCTAAAACTGCTTCCCCAGACCCCGTCCTCCCCTCGCCCACGAGGAAGTCGTTTATTACGTTTATTATGATCTATCAGCGCGAACGTGTTTTCGCAGTTGAAATATGTCTTGTTCTATACTTATAACGTATATCACTAGTCAGAGACAGAGAGAAAGTCAAAGATACACGGGTGTGATTAAATTCAATTAACTTTTAAATTAACATTTACACATCTTATTTATAATTATTTTTAATATACTTCGCTGTAAATATTGTGTGTTAGACATCTTTAATTTACAGTAAATTATGCATTAATATTATTCTTGTGTCACTTGTATATTAAAACGTGTTTAGTAATTAATGTATTTTTTATGTATTATTCACTTTTTAATTCAATATTTCAATCAACATGTGTTCTAATGAAATAAAATAATGATCATTACGATATTTTTTAAACGTAAGGTTTTGTGCAGCTAACACAATTTGTTAACGATAATTCACGCAAAATCACATGTTTCCCATACGTTAAGTATTATAATAATTAGTATCTAGTACGTTACCAGAAATTATGTTGTACTCCTATTGTATTTCAGTAGCAAATACTAGAAATATTATGTTCAAGGGTTTTAACCATAAACGTATATAAATAAATTATGGATGTGTTAGCTAAGATGTATTACGATTAGAATATAATCTAGTACTAAGTGACTCTGACTAGACTGATTAACAGCTATTTTTTTCTGCAATTTAGATATTTATCGATCTTCTAAGCGCTAAATAAACCTAGAAACTAATACTACTAATTTAATTCATAAACGTCGAGTTTTAATCTTAAGATGACTGCAAAAATATAATTTGATTAATATAAATATTAAGATTGTTATAGACTGTATAGTGTATATATTATATTTATATATTGTGTACGATATGTTTTCTGTGCGCAGCTTAAGTTTATACTTTATATAAATCTAAAGCTACACATGAACTGAATCAATAAATGCATTGCATGAGAATAAACGATGACATAATCTGCTTTTAGTATCTATGCAGTATGCAGTTATTTAAAAAATGCATATAATATTTATTACGCAATAGGTACTCAAAAACCTTTGACGGAAATTGTAATGTGCCCGAATAGATTTGAATAATATTTGTTGACCAGATTCCCAGGAGAACGCCTGTGGTGAGTCAGACATGATCTTCGGTAATAATTCTATAGTATACCGGCCTTCTAATCATTGAATCATATATTTTCTGGTATTCAATCTATTTCTATACTTCCTGTGCCCTCGAAAAATTTTTCTAGTCTAGAATACAATATTATGTAAATGTAGGATATATAAAACTATATTATTTGGTATATACGATTTTATAAAATTGTATGCAATGCGAATTCAATTCGTCTGCAATACCACAATAGTGCGATACTATTTCATATTATATTTTGTAAGTAGTGTTGAAATTCGAAATCATTAATATTTTATCTAGCAACTGACAACATTTCAATTAGGTGTAAAAAGTAAAAACCAAATTCGCTCTACCTACCGTAGTTGTGTTAATGAAGAAAAAACGTCGTTTCGATTTTCAATAACAAAAACTGCGAGGTGCAGAAAAATAAATAGAAAATAAACGGGACTCGGTTATCTGTGAAGTTATAAAACTATAAAACCGATCGATTAAGTTACGGAAAAACATAAAATACGGCGGGAATTCGAGTGGCCACGGCGACGGCGTTGTTCCACGCTACATTTCGTGCCGAGTATATTATGTCACATAACGTCGTGACGTAAAAAAAATAGGCATAGTATTATATTATTATAATAGGTACTGCGTTAAACGATCGGACAAACAGGAAGCGGCGAACGTGTATGGACGTACAAAAATAATATTATGTTAAATATTTGTCCGTAATGATACCTATTAATTATTATAAAATATATATTATATTATTATTACGAATGTATCCGCTGGCAGCGGCGCAACAAGTGCACCCACACGGTCGCATAACAATATAATAATAATATGACGGTGTGTGCGCGTGTATTGAAAACGCAAGTGACCGGACCGAAGCTTGTTATATACCAGTAGTGGCGGCGGCGGCAGTGGTGACCGTCGGCCAGTCCGCAGAGCTGCAGCATCGCGGTGCCCGGGCGGGATGCCAGTGACCCGAGTGCTTTGATCTCTCTGCTCTATACACACACGCACTCGCACACGATAGTCGGCGGCGGCAGCTGCGTCCTTGTACAAGTACCTTGGGGGCAACTTGTCCGCTTCGTGCTCGCTTTTGTGCGTGCGTGTGTGTTGCATCGCAACCGGTTCCCCCCTACACACAAACACGGACGGACGACGGTCGCGAGAGAGCGCGGCGGCTTGGCCAAGCGGTGGTGGTTACGGCGGCGGCGGCGACGACGACGACGACGACGACCGTACCCGAAACCGGTTGACGGCGGTGGTGGTTTGAGGCTCCGCTGCTGCCGCGTAATGTAATAATAATATAATCTACACGCGCAGTCGTCGTCCGTCACCCGATCGATCTCGCGTTCTGCAGTTTGCGTGTCGCGAGTGCGTTGTTTCTCAGTGTGTTTCTCTCTGTGTATGTGTATTGCTCTTTTTCTCGCTGTTTTTTCCCTCCTCATATCGGTTTTGTTTAAATCGTAGTACACAATATTACAATCATCGGTCTAGTGCGCGAGTGTATGTTGAGCGTGCGTTGTTTGGCGCGTGAGTGTGCGATTTAGCGCGCGTCCGATAAAAGCGCAGCGTAATCGACGATGACGGCGGATGCGCACCCACCGCAGCCGCTGCAGTTGACAGAGTCGCCGGCGAAGACGCCCGCATGAAACCCATCACGTTCGAGAACCTCCGGCGGCTGATCGGCGGTCGTCGGAAGAATAAGGACCGCAACGAGTCGCCGTTCAAGCGGAGCGACTCGTTCAAACGGATATCGATCCGCAGGAATTACTTGGACGGTAGGGGCGGCGGTCAAAAGGGCAGGAATCCCACCAAAAAGCCTCCGCCGATAGACGGCGTAGCCGACGGTGATGATTCGCCGCAACAGCAGCATTCTTCCGTACTTACCTCGGCCAAGCCTGACGGTAGCCTTCCGACTAGTCCTCCGGTCATTTCTCGTCTCCAGGCCAGTCCCAGAGCCGCTTCTCGTCGTCCGTTAAGTCCCCTGCCCGCGCCTCCCTGCAGCAGAGACGATGTACCGCCACCACCCGTGGAGCGAAGACGACAGGCGGTCGCTCCAGCACCACCACCGCCGCCACCACCATCACCACCGCCCACCGGCTCCACGACCGCCGTGACCACCATGACTACCAGCTCCTCGGCCCCCGCTGTCGCCGCACCGGTCATCGATTACGGCGAATGGATCCGATGCATACGTGCGGAAGAAGACTTGAACAACTTGAAGCGGTCTTGTTCGCCTCCCCCGCCTCCCACGCCACCGGCACGGTACCGTTACCACGTGCACAAGGAGCTGGACGACAGTAGCCGTACCGACTCTGCCATCAGCCTCGGCCGGATATGGATGGACGCACCGATGTTACCGCCGGCCGCACCCCGGAGCCTGGAGCTACCCGCCCGGCCGGCCGCGGCCGCAGCGATGGCGGCCGACGGCGACGGTCAGCCGCCACGGCGAGCCCACCATTCGCTGGAGAGCGCGCTCAAGGACAAGCGGGATGACCGGCCAGTGCCGTGCAGGCGGTTCCATCGGTACCCCATGGCCGGGGACGGTGTCAACAAGACGGCGTCCCGTTCGTCGGTGGCGTCCACGTGCTCGGGCAAAGACTCGGGTTTCAGCCTGTCCGCCCCGGGACTGTCCGATCCTCCGAGACCGTCTAAGCAGCAATTGTTTCGCAAGAAGGCACCCAGACGTCCCGCGGCAGGTGCCGCTGCTAAACCGACGACGACGGCGCTGCAGTCGCCGCCCACGCCGCAAGACCAACTCTACCAGGTGGTGGTCGCCCGGTCGCCGTTGCGACAGCTCAAATTGGACCCCATGATGTTCGTTCCCCCGGAAAAGAGGCGCCCCACCCAGCACCATCACCACCATCACCATCACACGAAGTCCCGTCCGGTCGTCGAGATCCGAGACTATTGCGTGCCTAAAGACGCTCGTCTGCAGCGACGTGACCCCGCGGACGACTACCGCGGAGACACCGACGATTACGACGACGAAGATGACGAACAGGACAGACTTTACGAGTCGATATCGAAGGGCACCCGGGGACGGTGGCAAGAGTCCACGGACGACGCGGACACCGAAGACGACGAACAGGAGCAGCTGCAGCAGCTGTACCACCGCCGACACCAGCAGCATCACCACTACCAGCACCAGAACCATGACCAGCACCGGACTCCCGAAACACCAACTCGGAACACCAACCGGGTGAAACGGAAAAAGTCGGCCCGACGGAACATAAAATACGTAGTGAAACCTGTCCGACGGGCGCCGTCCGCGGCCACCCGGAGACCCAGCGTCACAGCCAAGTCGAAATTCGCCGGGACGCCAATAAGTACGTTTTGATTTTTACTTTCGACCGTCGATTTTGCTGTCCGATATCGGTTTTTCTTTTTAGTTTTAATTCGTGTTTTGGTGCTTATCCACCCCCTTAACGTCCGCGACTGTCGGTCATTCACTGAACATAACCCGTTCGACAGCCATTAATGTGTATAAAAGTAGGAAGACCCTCGTGAAATCTGTTTCCGTCGTAAACACTCGAATGGCAATAATGATCATCGTTACTTATTATTATTTATTATTGATTTTTGTTTTGCGGAAAAGTCCTGCTGCGACGTAATAATTACGATACTATATTATTATACTCTCTCACGTGTCTGTTTCGAAAAGGAAGCTCGTCAAAACGTAATTAATAACTCGTAGGTGGTAGGTCATATATCGCATAGACGCCAAATATTGATTGTACCTATATTATATTATATTGTACATTATACGCATATTATATATCTGTCTAGCACAGCTCGCCAACGTTTGTGGATGACGTTGTTTGTGAATTGTTCACGAATTGAATTGCTATTTTAATTGCTCTCAAAACTTTTGCGATATTAGTTAAATTAAATTGTCGGTGTCTCAACCGTGAGACTTCCACCTCTATTTTGGATTCAAGCCATTATTGTATGTATCGACAATTTATTTATTGTTAATTTAATTGCTGCAGTTTTAAATTTTCAAAAGAAGCGATAATAAAAATAAAAAAACTGTTATTGACGGGCATACTGTAATAAATATTGTATAATATTAAATATAGGACGTACCTAGGTGATGTAATACATAATATCATATTTGTAAGGTTAGTACCTACTATGAGACATTTGAATTCCTAGAAGATGAATTAAAGGTATATCGAATGATATTTTATTTACCGTTAACTCACGAAGCTTTGGGTTTATTATACACAAGAATCGATCGTTTTGTTGATTCATTCATTTCCATTGAAATTGTCGATGAAATAACTCTATAAACCCGCTAAACTGGTTAAGCATAACACGAAATTTCTTACGTTTTACCATAATACATTAAATTATGTCCGACGTTCAATAATAACGCTGTTAACCACTAGACAATTTTTTTTACTATAATATAATATTATGCATTATACACGCTGCACAACACTTTCCGCATTCATTTGTTTAAACACCATCTGCGGAAGTGTGTTCGGGACGACATACGCTTTCATCAGTTTCCTGCAAAATGTATTCGGTTTAAACCCGTTAAGCTATACGTATTATATTTTTTAGGTCTAATGTGTTTCGTTGTTTGTAACCTATTAAAAAAAAAAAGCTTCGGATTTCAAATGATTTAACACCGCGATTCAATTTTAAGGCGTGGCGTCCTCGTTCGATAAATGTTCAACGGTACATTTTATATTTTTATCGTTAACATTGCGCGGTGAAATGCGAAATGACTCTGTATAGTGGTGGAGTTGAAACAATAATTTATAGGTGCCAAAAAACCCGACACGTATGATAATATACATGTTATACCTACCTATATTATGCTGTAAAAACCTAACGACTGTACGGATGATTCGAATATGCCTATATATAGTATGTTATATACGTATAGCTATTTCCCAACCAACAATAATAATTACGATCCCGTGTCGTTTAAAAAAGATCATCTCCGACCGTACATAACATAATATATATAAATTACAGGTTAAAAGACCATAACATTATAAAATACGTCCGTCGAGAAACTTTGTAGGTACAACTCCGTTGCGGTGATATGTAAATCTATGTAAGTACGGTAAAAAAAACATTTAAAAAAAAAATACCCCGTCGTCTGGGAACCTTGAAAAGGTTAGCGGCAATCAAATCCGATCGGGATCAAATATCACTCTCCTACAAGTCCATATTATAATGTATATCATATATAATACAATGTATACGTGTTACATCATTATTGTTCTTATTGTAATACTACCACGACGGTGGTGTACCGGTGGAGTGGAAAGGATGAGACATAACACACACACACACACCCACGACTCGTGTATACGCTGGTTAGTTGTGATAATTTATGTATTATTATATATATTTTAATCAATAATAAAATATATTAAACCGAAGTCTGACGATTCCGTTCTTCGTCATTAAACAACTCGCTCCGGCGTCTTAATAATATAAACTTATATATTATATCATTGAATTATAGCGTATACGAACCGGATAGTCACCGCGGTAGCGGTATAATAAAATATGCGCTCTAGTGAATATTTATTATTAGATATTATTATTATACCTATTATATAGGGTTTAGTCCGCTACCATCAATCGAGCATGGGAGTCGTTTTGATTATGTCTCGGCGACGACGCTTCGGGGTGAAACTACTTATACGCTCGTATATGTTATAACGATAAATTATAATATTATTACGTGTATTACATATTATTATTATTGTATTATTATACATCGCGTTCACGACTTTGGATTTTATACATCGATAAAACAAAACGTTATGCGGACAAATCGTATTATTTCATTATTGTATATAATATGTACACACGAACCTCGTATATTATATTATTACAATATAGTACAAGATTATTATAATATAACGTATAATGAAATTACGTATTATTGAATCGTCATAGCGTAATAAATATTGTATGGGTGTTAGCGTTGAAACAGAATAATATTGCGTTCCCGTCGTGAGATGTGGGATTTTCTGTAACAACTATTATAGCAAGACTAAACTATACAATTTTATATGCGTATTCGAGTACGATATCGTTATTTATGCTTTATATTACTAAAGGATATCGATTGGCGACTGCATTTGCTTCAAAACGATTAGATTCGAAGACACATTAATTTTTCTAAAAAAACATTTCATTTAGCGGTGATAATATAATATATCTACTATAAAATGGAGTTTATCCTCTATGCGTATACGTTTAGAGGTGTATAAACAAACAATTCATAGCTGATAGTCTGTGATGTAGAAATATAAAACCAACTAAATTCGTCCTGGACGTAACTCGACAATAAGCATCAGAGGTTGTACCTAACCGCAGCCACTCCCCCCACCACACCAACCATTGATTGAAACTTAATTGGATTTTGTGTCCATACAAACATTTAGGTAAAAGTGGATTTTGATTTTCCGTTTTAGTTTAATGTTTTGAAATTGTAATCTACCTCCACACCACAAAAAACGAATTTCTCGATTTAACTACATCTCGGTGTGTACTTGTCGGTTATCGTGTCGTATTCATTACAATATAGTTGTTATAGAATTTTGACCAACTTAAGTCGTCTCTGTGATTTAATTAAATCGAAAGTCGTTAGAATTTTAACGGCCGCTGACTAATATGTTATTAATTATGTCACAAATTATACTATAATAATACTTATAATATTTATCTAATGGTTGTTCGTTTTGTTTTTGTTTTAGGTAAGTCACGTGAACGATTTCTGTACTAATATTCAACTCCTGTGCAACGTAATATTGTATAAGAGTGGACTCACGGTGAGTCTGATGACGCCATCTCTTTAGACGTAATTTTATAACGATAGTATTTATGTACATATTGTATTAATTTTTTTTTAAACTTTATTTTTAATATATCTAAATAATATGAACAATATATTTTGTAGTTTAAATTATTAAACGTAAAATTAAAAAAAAAAAAATCCATTTTTATATTATGCTATACTTAATTTCTAAGTACAAGTGCGAGTATACCTATAAAATATGCAACTACGTTGCGACAGTATCGTACACTACTACCTACCATAATATATAATATTGCAGTACCTATTATTACCTGGTAATTCTCTTCGTGTGCAGAGATCTCGTTAAGGAGAATATAATATTATTATACTGATATGTGTATATGATTCATATATCAGTAAGTCCATTATCCGTCGACCGTATGTATTATACACAATACACACTGTGCGACGTAAATATGAAGTTAAAACGCGTGTGATTAGCAGCTGATTTAGTATTATTGTTAAACGATTATAGTAGTAGGTATAATATTTTCCTATAAGAGTGTGGCCGTACTCCAAGGCTAGACTGCAATAATATAACGACATTTTTATATATTATCTGGAGACGTATAAACACATGAACGAGTCAAGGAAAATTGCGGATGAGAAATCGGACCGTTACCAGTTTTGCCATATTCGTTTAACATATTATATATTATTATATTATACGATGAGCGCATTGTTTCGGAAAGTTCAATTATAACGCATATTACGTATAATGCCATATACATATTATGCACTATTATTATACTTACCATGCACCCATATATACCTGTTCATGTTTATCATAATACACACGTGTTACGCCATTGAAATACGCCAAATCCTCTTTGTACTATTGGGTATGTATGGGCGCCGACAATGGGTCCGGTGTACAAATCCGATCACATACAGCGATCAAGTATCCAAATATAATAATAGTTGTAATGATAATAATTACTGTTATATAAGTTTTATAAGGTTAGGTACGTTTTGGGTAAGGTTAGCTTATTTTACAGCCGCGCTGGGGTTAAAAAAGGTAATATCCTGATTATAACAACCGGACGACCGATGATCAGTCGGCCGAAAAATGCAAAACTTTCAACAGCAGCTGTGAACAAAAGTTTAAAACAGTTGTACAAGATTTGTTGGATTCTTATCTATTCCTATATACCTACACAACTTGTGTGGATTTATCGATTCCGCCAGTACGGGTACATAATAATATAATAATATGTCGGATACCAATCGAAACCTAATATTGATTTTTTTTAATATTTTCAATTTAGCAAAAGACTTGGAATATTTAAATTAAATACACCATTAACTACTCTTAAAAAAATGCGTAAGCTATAGTAATTCGCAGTTTCTGTGTATTATGATTTCCCTGCATTTACACGCGTTTCCCGGGAATTGCCCGACACTATAGATGCGCAACCGAGATGTGGAGTCGATCCAATTTAATTTATCATATTTTATTACTTTACGGTTTTTTTTTGGCCATACCGAATTCGTCTGATCCCTCATCTGTGCAGTATTATAATAATTGCATAGTAATTATATTATGCACATTTCGTGCTAGAACTTCGTCGTTTATATGCCACCATCGGCTATCGGACTAATGGACGTTTAATTATGCACGCAGGATCCTAGGAATCATCTGTCCTTGTGCAGCAGGAGGAGCATCGAGAGGACGGCAAATGTGCGCGATCCCTGTGCACATAATATTATACCCACGTCATTATTGCAGCTTATTTATTGTATAATGTAGATGGCGTGAATATTTTAACACTGCGGACCCGTCGCGTGTCACGTCAAAAATCCTCTGCAACTAGATTCGCGTGTATAATATAATATATATACGTATCGTGTGCATATTGCATAATAATAATAATACGTGTACCTCCTTTACCTATATGCAATAAAATTCTAAATTCAAATCTCCCCGTTCCAAAGTCATGGTTGCGACGACCACCGAGTATAAATAATAATTTTTTTTCGCCCGTTTCGACGTTATAACATTCCACTTTAGCACTGATGCATATAAGTGTGACTGACGGACTTCCGACGACGTATGCCGTTGGCATCTCTGATTTGCCCTGCCTTTGAAATTTCGTGTGATTTCCTTATACTTAAATCGACGTGGTTACTGCAGGTCACTCGAGGACTTGCGCGTATATGACACACTGCAGGACGATTTCAAAGGATATAATAATGATATAGAAACTTTTCAGTCTTGTACAAGTATTGAATATGACGCCTCTGCCGATGTGACCGACATGTGTGCGACATCATATTTTTTTTTCTCGTCCTTGATAATTAAATTATATATTTTATTTTTTATTACTCTTCGTACGTACTTACTTGAAAAGTATATACTTAGGTACATACGTTTCGACTGCTTCGGCGCAATTTGAGTGAACACTGTTCTGCCCTATATATTATTTTTCTACTTGTGCGCGCTGAGCTTATTATCATTAATATTGAAGTGTATAATATATAAAATGTCTTTATATATCGATAGATTTAGTACACTCGAACGATTTTCAATGGCTCTCGGCCAACGTATATGTATATGATATATAACAACTAAGATCGTCAAAACGTATAATACCTATATCAGGCAGAGGAGGCACACGAATGGAATTTAATTTTCATAAATCCGCCGTAACGAGACGTCGTCGTCGTCGAGTCTGCCGGATAATATATACTTAACGCGGACCATCGTCATCTTTATAACGTGATGCGTACCTATGTATTGATCCCTCTCAACATCCAACCATATAGCTATTATGTAATCATCGCCTCCTGTGCGTAAAACACGTCGACGATACACCTCGACGGCCAATAATTGAAATAAGCGTACCAATTTTTTTTATGGTTTTTATGGTTCACAAAATAACACATTTTGTGGGCGCGAACAAATCGATCCACGCGTGTTGTAATATTCTATAATGCTATATTGCGGTGGGGTGTACGTCGGAGAATAAACACGACATTATGACATGCGTTTAACGACGATATTCGAACCTATATCGTCTGGCGTATTATAACGTCGTAACACCATTGAACCGTCGCCATATAATATAATAATAATGATACACTTATTAATAATACATTATATATTATTACGACGTGTATATATTGTTATTGTTTTATCGCTTATGGTCGTCCGCGGAGCTCATCGGTTACGACTGTATTATAATATCATGCGCATTTGTTATATTATCACGACGAAGCCGCTTTTGGATGTACATTATTTTAATTTTGTATTTTTATACACATACCATCTGGTCGAACACGCATAGTATATAGTGCCTATAGTAGTTCGATGTATAATTTAGCGCCCTAGACTCGAGACGTCATTAAACCTCAAACTATAATATCATATCGATTTCAAATGTCGACTATTATGGTAATCGTACGCACACGACACACGCGTATTGATAATATACGCCTAGTTATTGTTATCGCGGACCTGAGGAAAATCTAATGTGCAACAATTATTTTTATTAATATTTTTTTTATAGTCCGGCCCCCATTCATCGTGGCTATTGTAATGTCATCACTCGCACAACTACATGATATTATTATTGTATTTTATTTTTGCGTTTGTAAACTTTATCAGGTAGTTCATACGATTGTTTTTGTTGTTTTGCGTTTTTCAATGGGGAGTGAATGGTTTTACGCCATTTAATGAAGTATAGGGCACTTTTGGTTCGGTTTTCGTTCTGTATTCCGTCTATTAATATATTATTGCTGTAAATGGTGTCGTGTACGTCGCGTTTGGTATAGTATACTCGACGAGCTTTATCGATTTTCAGTTGCCGTCAGCCAGTAAATAAGTAAATTTACTTAAAAACTATTACAGACTGATGGATAGACATACAATATACATATTATATATATAAAAGAATATACAACCAATATGGTCTCCAGTATTATTGGTGTATACATGCAGCGGATCACGCGTATAATAACCGTAATTATTTATTATTTTGTTTTTATTTTGGTCATTCATAATTTCCATTTTTTACGTCCCCTTTATCTTATTACAAATAATTAACTCACTAGACACTCGTGTTTATTCACATCTATTAAAAGTGTTTGACCCACAAAACTTCGGCTCTTTATACCGATCACCATAGGCCATAATGCCATTAATCTGGTGTTGAATATATATCAATTAATTCTGCTTCCTTGTCTAACCTAACCTTAATAGTTAATAAGTCGAAACAATTTCATTTCCCTTAAATTTCGACTTGTCGACGTTCCACTGTAATATATATTAATTGATATAGGTATTATGGAATTATGCTCTGACATTTGGTAGTTAACTACGAAATCGTTAATTATTTTGAAAACGTGTTTAATATAGGTAGGCAGTAGATAGTTTAAAAACGGAAATTTTATATAACATAATTAAATATACATCAATAATTGCAATTATATGGGTTGCACAGAATACGCGAATACCAACCACACTGTTGGTTTCATTTTATCACCCGGTATATAAGTATGATAATAGAATAATAATTATATAGAACTGTTAATTCGCGATGTTAATATAACATTCTCACAGGCGTCATCCTCGTGCAGCTAAATACTACTTTTTTTGTTGACTTTTTTCGGATCGATACCGCTCGCTCACGAGAATATAATATACATACCGAAGCATATTAGTGGCACGACGTACCCATTACTCTGTCGTCATAGGTCATAATATCCGGGCTTGCACCGCACAGGGTTGTTCAATATCCGGACTGTGCGGGGTCAAATATCCTGAATAATGCTGCATTTATTGTTCGTTTGGTTTACCCTAGATCAAACGCGATGTGCTAATTACCGTGTAAAGTAAATTGGTCATCGTCGGCGCATGTGTACATGCAGTTGACATATTGTGTATTAATAGAGATAGCTTTTATGTTCTGTAATATGCACTACCTATA